CATCTAAGCGATTGCCGGTGGTTTCTCCCCAACCACCGGGTCTTTTTTCTTCGAGGTTTTCCTCGTGAGAGGAGCCGACTCCGAAGCTGTCGGCTGCGGAGGCTCACAAAAAGGCTTGTCATCTCTAAGTGATGCCTTAACCGCCCTTGACGCTTGTTGTTGCACCCGAACACCTTTAAACGGGCTGTGTCCAGTCTTCTTTCACACTCATAACGGATTAGTGGGCCGTTTCCCAGGTGAGTCATGTTTTCCAGAATTGGGCTTAATCCTCTGTCTTATGCCTTTTGGGGCCTTAACCATTTCTTTGAGAGGGGAAATGACCCCATCAAGGCCCAAATCGGGCCCATCTCTCTCTCCCTGTACACAAACCTCAGCCGTGCAATTCGCCTTCTGAGCTATCACCAGCGCCGTCGCTGTCGCTGTCGGATTCACCTTGTTCCAAAGGCTCGCTTCATTTACTGCCCTGGCCTCTGCGACCGACGCCTTACACCACCCGGCTCTGGCGAAACTCTTCTCCTCCTCTGCCAAAGATTCTTTCTCTGACTTCTGTCGATTTGGAGCACACCATCGCTTTTCATGAGCCTGCTGCATCACCGGAGCATCTGCGGAAGGCTCTCCCACCTTGCCTCCGACTGGACGCTTTCCCAGGCGCTTCTCCTCTCCAGTAGAGAGAGACTCCTTCCGGACCCAATTTTGGGTCGATTCGAGCCGAATCTCAGGTCCATATGAGTCGGGCTTCGCCGGGGATGCGTTCTCTCCGAAGAGATTCTGGCGGAACGGCATTTTGGTTGGAACTTTGACCGCCTCGACGTGACCCTCTCTTTCAACCTGTGTTCTCTCCGCCCTACGGTGACTTGCTGGATCTCGGCCGGTGTTATGGCGATCGAGGGCCGGCTCCATAGCCGAGCTGGTTCGATCATTCCTGCGATGTCGAGCATCCTCCCCCATGACGCCGGGAGTAACCACGACTGTGTCGTGTCCGAGGCCTCTCAGGGTAATCCAATTTGTCGTGTGTCAATCGGTAATAGATTTTACAATAGCAATCAAGCTTTTCGTATTTGAAATGCACTGTGATAATGTCACCTTTCCTGAACGCCAGGTCTCGATTCAAGACCAGAGGTGCTCCTCCTTCCAGAGTGACCTGAACCCGCGGCGGCTGAAGTTCCTAGGCCATGAGGTCTCCCAATTTCTCTTTGATCTCGACAACGCCCTTCTCATAGCATCGACAGTCCGGCAAGTTATGAATTTGGATCCACATAGGGATGGAAGACGGGAAGTCAATACGACTGGTTGGGATCCATCGTTCCAGAGCAAAGAACCAGCCATCAAAGTGATATGGCCTTCTTGCAAGTACTTGCGTGATATCGGATTCCTGGTCAAATCGAAATTGGAATTTTCCTGTCTCCATGTTAATGCCCTTAACCCGATCCTGACACTTCCACACTTCCGGTAAGAAAGCAATGAGAGCTTTGACCCAGTGCGTCTGTTTCGGGTTCAAAACTCTGCCAACCAACGTCTTCTCAAACTGTTTGATGATCTCCGAGTCATCAAAATCATGCATCTGAATGGGAGACAATCTCTTCTTCTCATCCCGCGGTGCCACTATCTTCCCAAAGAAAGCCATATTGACAGGTAAGGTGTTGCGAATGGACAAAGTAAACCTCTGAGATGTGTGGGATTGTTTTTCAGTTCTAGCGTAGTGAGAGAGATGGACTCTCAATGTTTATTTTTGTAGGTGAATGGCGAGATCAATCCGTTTAGTCAACAGGTCTCCAATCAGCTCCCTGTAATTGATACATCGGCGGATTACAGTGATCACCGACCCGATATTTAAGTGATTGCTCCCACATAAGGAAAGCCAGACAGGATTACTCTGAATCTTGAGAGAAAATATCATGTAGATCCGAACACCATTGAATGAGATCTTTCCATATCTCATAGCCTCAAGATTTGAGTCCACGGCCGTATGATCTTCATAATTTGGGGAGATCTTGATAAAGACAAGTCTATCCCGCAAAAATGTAACATGCTCCACGCGTGAGCTATGTGAAGCAAAACCTGCAAATCCGCAGACGACCTCGGAGATGTGTCGAACATTGATGCAAACATACTCCCACCAATGTACTAGGAACATCCAAAACCTGAGCAAAACACCAAGAGATGTCGGCTGGTTTCGACGAGCGAGGCCCTGTGTATGGTCGGCGAGGAAGGGCCACCGGTAACAGGGAGAGACGATGGCCGTAACGCCCATTTTATTCAAAAAAGGAACCGTTACAGGAACTCATCGAGAGAGAAAAAAAACCCTTGTTGCTTGAAAAAAACCCGGTTAACTAATTAGGATCTAGAGATTTTTTTTTATTGTATGAAAATATGAATTGATGCTCAATCATTTCAATGTTGATAGTTCTATAGTTAATCACTCACATTTTATTAATCAGAATTTTCGTTTATACTTCGTGAGATTGTTCAATATCTTTGAATAAATAAGATATTTTCTTTCACTTTAGACATTCAGTCTCCTAACATTTACGTTACTTTAATAACTAACATCATTTAATTCTTTTTTTTTTTAATTTTCTCATGTCGTTTATCTACATTTTCACTCACTTTCTCTTATATTTATATTCATTTATATATTTTTAAAAAAATTAAAATATGTAAACATTTTTATCTTGATCATAAATTCATTATCTTTTTATTAATCTCAAATGAAGTACAATATAAATAAAGTATATTTCATTTTGTAATTTCGTATTTACAAAAATAAAATACTCAAAAGTCCTTGTATACGTATGTACTAATTTTCGTAATTTATTTACTTATTTTTCGTTTTTTCTTTAATTTAAATTTTTAGTAGTTATAAGTAACAATAAATATACATAGATATGAATTAATTGAACATTCAAAATAAAAATTATTGTAAAAACAAAATATTATGCTTAGGTGGACACTTAGATTGAGAAAGAACTCTCTAATTATATAATAGTTTATTACATTACTGATGGTTTGAAAATGTTGTTGGTCATTCTTTTTGCCAATTCTGTTGTGAGTCGATTTTTTCTCCCAAGAGTCGATATAATTCGTTGTAGTTTTAAAATTAATTTGCTATATTTTTAAATTATAATGATTTGTCATCAAATTTGTATTTTTCTCGATAGTTAGTTTATCTTAATTTAAATAGAAAAATATTTTTCAAAATAAAATAAAATAACTATAAAAATATCAATAGGTGAAATTTTGAATATAATGTGAGAATTTGTTTTTTGACTTAGTTGACTATATCTAATAATTTTCTTTTAATGGTGAGATAATTGGTTTGTAAAATTTGTAAATACAGTTATGTAAATTAGTTTTACTACTATTTTTATTAAAGAAAGATCTGTAGTATTTATGCCAATAAAATACTTTGATAATCTTGTATTCCAAACTTGAAATGTTCATTATTTTTACTTTTTCGGCTCCTATTCATTTGTTTTAGTTTAGCACTTTTTCTATTGATTATAAACTAGATTTTTGACTTGCGTCAAACGCGGGATTATAATATTTGAAAATACATAACTTTTTTTAATATACGGCAGAAATTAGAAACAACAAATAACAAATGGTATATCTACCATACTTGTAAACAAATTTTATCTTACAAAATTCAGTCAGCATGACACTTAAAATAATTGTAAGCGTTTTTAATATAAATCAAATACTTTTAAGATTAAGAGGTTCTCTTAAACTTATTTGAACTCACCAAACCCAAAAAAAATATGATTTTAGTATATAAATCTTCTTAAATAAAAAATCAAAGAAATTGATAAAAATGTGAAAATGATGATTTTTAAAATTTAAGCATTAGTTTTTTTTTTGTAAATTTGCACATTTATAACAAAAGTGC